GGGTGGGAAGGGCGGGAGGGGCGGGCCGCGAAAAAGGCGATGTGTCGAACTTTCGAAGCGCGCGCACTGAAAACCCCCCGGACCTGCCCCACATCCTGGTTCCCTGGGTGAGCCACCACTGCCTTTGGCCCCCGGCAACCGCGTGTGCCCCCATGTAACCGGCCACGCCCCGCTCGCCTCTTGGGAAGTGACGACGGCGACGGCGTCGCCCCCTGCAGCCACGTACAGGCAGGGCTCGGCGCGGGCCCGCCAGATCACCAGGCGCGCCAGGGCGGCGAAGAGGCGGGGCCTCATGTGGGGCCGTACCAAGAAGAGTGACATATAGGGGTCGGTCGAGAAAGCCTGCGGGGTTGGCCGAGAGTAGAGGGGCGCGGGCGACGCGGGGTGGTGCGTGGTCGCGCGGTTTGGCGCGCGCGCGGCGCTCCGTCATGACGCGACGGGGCGACACGCGCGCGCGACGTGCTCGCGTGAGCGGGCCGCTGGTCGTGCGTGCGGCTGATTGGTAGGTCGGTGCGCGCGCACATGCGTGGGGTGTGTGCTGCGGGACGGCCTGCGACATGTTCCTTGTGCCTGACGAAATTACTCAGCGTCATCGAGCGCGTGCTGCCTGGCGCCGCTCGCCTGGCCTATCGCCTCGATCGCACGCGCCACGACCGCGGCAGGCGCTGTTTCAGGGGTCAAAAGCTGTATTTCATCGTCCGTCATGTCTGTGTGCCGACGTATAGCGGCTCCAGGAGCTGTGGAGAGTGGCGCAGTTCTACGAAGGCGCTTGGAGTCAGTCACTGCAAATCCAAGATAACATTGTTCAAAATACGGTCAATAAATGGATTAATGTCGCGTGTCTTCGGCCGCGTATGGTATGATCACAGATATTACCAGTAGAATGCGAGCAGTGACGCAGGGGTGTCATAATCTGATGGTGGAGGGAAACAGAAACGTGATCTATAATGCGATCCGAACAAGTTCGAGTGCCGTGGACTAGTCTAACCCCAACTCACCAATGCCCCGTGCACCCCCAGCGGCCACACCGCGCAGAGCGCTTCAGCTCCTTATAGCGCCTTGATCCCGATAACTAGCCTCAGCGCGTTACGTGGAGCCGGCAGGACTGCGGAGGAGTCTATATCGGTGCGGCACGACCCACGCGCCACCCAAGCATTGGCCGGACGTGCCCTTTGGGCAGTGCTCGTGCTGGCCGCCGGACATGCAGCTCATAGCAGCCAAAAACCATCTGACTGCGAACGCGCCATGCCAAGCGTGCCGATACAGCTGCCGCGCGAACACCCCATCGGACCCCTCCGCCACCGCAGGCCCCGCGGCGTTGCTAGAGGCGCAGTCCCCAATACACGCGCCGCCTGCCGCGCGTCGCGGCGTCCGCACGGCCCAGGCGGCGCGGCTTATGGAACCCTCCGCGTGACACATGGGGCTCGCTCAATCGAGGGGGTGAGCAGTCACGCGCGACCGCTTGATTCCCGTACCCACTGATCACCTGGCTCTTGTGCGAACTCGCGCACTCGTCGCCGCGGCGCTGCCGAGCACTCCTCGCGGGCACAATCCCGCAACCCGCAGGGGGGACGATTTCGTTGGCGCTGACGGCGGCGGCTGCTTTGTGGAAGACGAGGAGGCAGGGCCCTGCTTGCATGAGGACGCACCCTCTCCCAAGCCGCCGGCCAATGGGGCAACCCCCGGGGGGCCCAAAAAGAAGAAGCGACTGCGTGACGTCATCAGTGAGTGGGACAAAGAGCAGGATTCTGTGTGTGCGTGTGTGTGCGTGTGTGTGTGTATGTGTGTGCGCGCGCGCGTGCGTGCTTGTGATTGTGTGCGTGTGTCGCATGTGGCATGCGGTGTGATTGTTTGTGTGCGCGTGCGTGTCTGCACACACATGTGTGCGTGTGTGTGTGTGTGTGTGTGTGTGGGTTGAGGGGGTTAGCGGTTGGATGCGCGCCTTTCAAACCCCCAACACGCCCCCCCTCTCCCCTGCTATCACTTGAGGCTTCCCACATTCAGCGCGACCTTCAAACTCATCACACTCTCCCCCCACCCCCGCTTGCGGCGTCCGTGCAGGCAAGCTGCAAGGGGAGCTCGACCACCGCAAGGCCCAGCTGGCGGAGGAGACCGCCAAGCGCGACAGGGCGCGCGCGCAGACGGCGCTGCTGAACGCGATCTTCCTCATGATAGGGTCCATGGAACAGCTCACCGCCCCCGACGCGACGCCCGCTGAAGACGAGGCCGCGCTCTCCGCGATCGCCGATCAGATCGACGCGATCCAGTCGCTCGTCCGCGCCGCTGGCGGCGCGACGACGCTGGGGCCGCGGCCGCGGGGGCGGGGG